TTTCATAAGGGGTCAAATGAGTGATTCGATTGGTAGTCACTCTCATACTCATTAAAGCTAATGGTAGATTGTTTAGCCAATTAATTTTCAGTTCGCTCGCTGCACATATCTTAGCAATTTTAGCTTTAAGAATTCCATTTTGACATTCAACTATGCCCTGCGATTATGGATGATATACACATCCCAATCTACATTTAATCATTAATTAATAATTAATGTCTGTGTGATTATGTCAATAACTCTTCTCTAGGTTTTAAGAAGGTTGTGGTGAACTATTCACAATGATGTGGTATACCTTCTTCAGGCGTAGCTAACCTCTCTGCTGGATTCACTCTGGAGCATCTCTGTATTGTCAATTCAGGGCTGAAAGAATTACGTCATATCCTGTTTGTCTAGCATTAGTCAACACAAAAGAGTTAGATGTTAATAACATGTGTATCACATTGTTATGGATGTTGCTTTCTCATATGTCAATGATGCCGCTTCTAAGCCTTGATACACTACCTTTAGCTAACAAACTGAAAGGTATTACTTCTTTCTTTTGTTATAACATGGCTAGTGTGTTTCCCATAATATATCTACTTTCCTTTAATTAGTAAAATAATCTGTATTGTAGCCTCTATGTGCAGACTGGGAGTGGTCTGTGTGTGTGTGGTGCTCCAACTGTACTAGATTAATTGCTGTTCTTGTGTGTTTGTTATCTCATGGCCCGCTGCTAAGAGCCCCCCCTTTCTGGCTTCTCTCTCTCTCCGCTGCGACTTTTTACCTGCCAAGACGACAGGTTAACACTCGTACACTGATAATTTCCCTTATTTTCCAAAAAATCCTCCTTTTCCATTTTCTTTCTTTTACTTTTACATGTCATTTACTATTTTAGAGTCGAATTCTTCATCAACCATGCTTCACACACCCAAAGGGAAATCTTTAAAGTAATCTCCTTTAAACAGCTCATCTCTTGAACTTCTAAATACATGTTGCACTCGTGTTGACTTAGGCCATAAACCCCATAATAAGGGGTCAGTTTCTCGTAATTTAATCTAGTGTCAAGGAGCGTACTATCCTAAAGTAGCTGCCTTTTCTCTCTCCCACAATTTTTCTTCCTTTGGACCTCTCTTTTTTTCGACAGTAAGGTGTATCTCAAGCTCTCTGCACCGTTCAAATTTTATTTCAGCCACTAAAGGGGTTTGACTATTTAATATTGTATTTAACAATGGAGCTAGATGTTTTCTGTCAAATCAGTTTAATTCTCCATTTCAACCTATGGTGAGGAACACAGTTTGCACTTCATCCCAATTAGGCCACTTGGGTCAGCTGCCATAATTTTTCACTGATCAACACTGATAATTGCCAACTCTCTCTGCCTTCTGCATCTTTGTAAGTTTTTTCAAGCCAAAATTGAGTTTGAACACCTTGTGTCTCCATTAAAAGTTGATTATCCATAAAATCACTGTGGACAATATTTTAATACAATCACTCTAATCTCTATTGATGAACCGTGAGTTTAAACTTCCATTTTTGTTTATTAAATTCTCTATCAACATTTATATTTACACTCATCACTGATATAGCTGTTACTGTCAGTTGCTTATATTTGACCTTACTTTTAAGTTTCATCTGTATTTTTAAGTTTTGTATTTCAGTCATTTAGTAGTTTACAGTTTCCTTTTCTTTCCCAACAGCAATTTTTTTATAGCTTTGAATGACAGCACTGGCATGTACTCACACACAAGTGCAGCTGGTATTAAACTTATCTGGTCCTCTCTAACAGATCTTCTCAATGTTGTAATACACATCTACACTTATGTAGAGAAGGAGGCTGTCTCTATTTATCTCTTTATTCCTTTTTCTCAACCTCTTTATTTCTCTGGCACGCTTTTTTCTTCATACACTGTTTTTTGTCAACCGGCGGCTCACTCACTGTATCATCTTCACAACATAAAACTACTTAATTTGTCCACCTGATTTTTTCTAACTATTACTCCTTTTTTATAAATTTTTCTTTTTTCCATTTTCCTCCCTTCTCATGCGGCTCACTACCTTTCTCACTGCACCTCAGTCGTAAATCACTCTTAGAGCTATTTCATCATTAAGCGTCAGCGACCACATAACCCAGTGAACAAAGCCTGTTCCCACATTTAAAGCAGAGCTTTTAAAACAGGTGTCTGCTTACCTTTTACTCTTAGCGTGCGCTTGTGGGCAGTGTCTTTTTTTCACAGGGTCACGGGGTGGCGGTCCACTACTGATCTGGTGCTGATAACGCAGCAGTCTTTCAGGTTCATCACATGTCCCTGTTACAGGGTCACCAATTATGTCTGGACCAAGAGCTATTTTCTTCCTTGCCCAAAGCCCCGACATATGATGGTTTTTAAAATCTAAAACTATTCTGTGCCGTGGTTTTGTTCTAATTATTATATCTAATTTGTAATCACTTACAAAAATAAACAAAAATAAAATAAACAAAAATAAAAAGCATATTCAACCAAAAATGAAAGAAAGTAGAATAAAAGACTTCAGCTGCTGAGTTCTTGTGGAAGGGAGAAAAAGACTTCTTATTTATTTCAGCACCAGGTGGCACGGGGTCTCGAGAGACCCCAACTGCGCAAATACAGTGTTCCAAACAACAGTGTATATACCATTTATCTGGGGTAATGTGATATCCCCCCGCCTTAAATCTCAAATTTGATATTAGCTCATTCTCTAATAGATGCATCTCTTCATCCATCAATTTGGTCATCGCTTGTTGAGCTCACTCCTAAAAACTGGCTTCAACAGGTTTTTACCAGCCTGCTTTACCTTTCAAGGTCAACTTGCCCCTCTCTTCACTGGGTCAGTAAGTACACACAGGCCTCTCTGTGAACCCAGGGGCTTTCCAGTGTCTAGAATATCCTATGCAGACAGTCTAAGGCCAACCCTTTGTGAGAGAATTAATATTCTCTGTTAGGCAATACTTCCTATTTGGTTATTGATTACAACATCTAATCTATTTGATTACTGATTACGGGAATATTTATTCAAAATCTCCATCAGTTCTAAATAGAACCACTGCCTTTACTAGAAGCTTCTTTATAAGTGTGTTAATTATTGGGTGTAATTCCAATATTGGACCAATGATAAAAATGAAATTTTCTCATTTTTTGGGCAAATAACATACTGACTGCTGATATCCTGTGCAACCCTAAAGTAGAGTGGTGTATTGTTTTGTGTCCGTACCTTCCTTGCACTCCAGTGCCACCCTGGACTCCAGGTTGTCCATCTGGAGCTGCAGGCGTTTGAGTGTGCGGTCAGCGTCCCTCGTTTTCCTCTTATAGGCGATGAGTACAGCGATGATGGCAATCAGGAGCACTCCACCGCCCGCTCCGATTCCGATGATAGCCGGAAGGGTCAGGGTGCTATCCGAGTAGATATGGAGCATGCCAGGGGAGTACTCCAACCCACCTACCATAATCTAAACAAAACAGACCACGGACAGGGAGAGAAGGTGAATACATGTCTCACAGGCCAAGGGGACAAGCACAACCAGACAGCAAAAAAAAGAAAATATTATTATATAATGGAGAGTTCCAGTCCCAAAGTCTGATTGGCAGGTCCAGGTTTAAAACTGCACTCAAAACTGCACTCAATATATAAACACAACAGGGCTGTCAAATGATTTAAATAATTAATAGTAATTTACCACATTGGTTTGTGTAGTTAATCATGATCAATCGCATTTGATCTATTTGCTCAAATTTGACCCTGAAGAAAGTTATTTTCATTTAAAAAGATTTTATAGCTTTATGGCTTCTGTTATAGCTATGTGTGGACAAATAAGCATAAATAATTGAGTAACATCATGTGAATGCAGGTTTCACATAAACCCTGTTAAAAAAAATGTAAGTGAATGCAGTTTCCAGTTTTCATCGCAGACGTCCAGTAAGTGCAACAGTGGCTTATTTTTCCAACCAATGAGTGTATTTCTCATATGCAGCCAATCATTACAACTTCAGCGACTGTAGCCTCTCACTCTCATACTACAATGCTCCATCTTGCTTCAAGGGGAACTGTATCTTTCCTCGGCTATTGCTTCTGTGAGTTTGCTGCTGACTGATTTATCCATAATGATTTGCTTGTAAATGAAACTCTACATGTAATTTGGTGATAAACAAATTCAAATTCACAGTAGCTGGAAATATTTTTTGTATCAAGAGAACCATCAGTGGAATTTACCATTTAATAGCTGTTTTTTAACGGTACAGTAGGGAACTAGGAAACTGTGTTCACACTATTAAAAAATAGTGGCATTAATCATTTTTGTGTTAACACATTACTAAAATGTTACCTTTGACACCACTCATACACATATACTGGTTTACCACAGTCATATACACGCACACACATCAGTTCAATTCTGTACGAGTGCACCAAGTTATTAAACTCATGCCGTTCACTTGGAATAATCTTTGTTCATTGTGTTGCTTGGCAACCACAGCCTACTGTTAACAAGCTGGACTGCTTGGCAGAAAAACAGTTTACTGCGATTCTTATTAGTAATAAATTATTCATTGAACATTGGTGTATATTATAATATTGCACTCTGTCACTGTTTCATGAAAGCAATAAGTCACAGTTAAGAGATGAAGCTTTAACAGAGACGAGTTTCACTTGTTTCCACTGAGCTCAGGTCCTCCAGTGCTGAGACCCTGCTGGCATTGGTGTCTCATAATGCTCCTGTGTCTCTGATTGGCTGAGAGAGAAAGCACACTGCTCTCCCCCTTCCAGTAATCAGCTCCTAATTGGAAGAGTAGGGTGAGGAGCTGTAGCCTCCCAGCTGAGCCCTGCAAGACCAGAGTGCTGCACTCGTCTCTAGTGGGCTTGTTTCACGCAGCTACACTTACTGTACAAAGCAGCATTTAACAATCACCACGAGGTCTGCCAATCTGCCTTCCTGACATCATGCCAGACTTATTTTTTAAAGAAAATTACAAAGGATTCATGAATTCATAATGCTTTCATTTTCTTCTTATATATGACCATCAATATATTAACATAACCTGGGAAACTGTGGAAAAAAATGTATATTTTAAGTGGAATTCTACTGATTTTGCAAAACTTTTGCATAATTTAACTGTTGTTAAATGTAGAGTCATTCAGAGTGGGTTGGTGTGAAATGGTTCACTGTAGAGAAATTTGGACTTTACAGTGGTGGTGGGGTTAAGAGGTCAATAACATAAATGTAGCCATTTTATTTACCAATTTTATTTATCCAAAAACAACCAGTGACTCTACACATGTTTACTGAGTTTTTATATGGAATTTATATCACTGTGAACAACTGTGACTTGGTATGTTTCTCTAGAACAGAGCATTTCACAACCATCCACTCTGAATGACTGTTTACATCTCATCATTCAATTATGCAGATATTTGGAAACATGACTGGACTTCCCTTTAAGCATGCAAAAGACTAACGCATTTGCTTTAGTTTTGCTGTGTTTGAGAACCGCTGAGCAGCCTGACTCAATGATATGATTTAGATTTCTCTTATTATGGTCGGCTACATTAACAGTTATGCCCTTTAAACACAGCTATGCTAGCAGTAGCGAACAGCCCACACTGATAATTAGCCAGCGCAGCTTCTTTTAATAAATGCTTTTTTGTAATCCAGCCGAAATATTCCGCAGCACTGGCTCTAGGAACCAGGAGTATTAAAATCGATGGCAGGCTATCTGAGGCTGTTAAAAACACTATGAGGAGGGCTGCACTAATAGTAGGCTTGCTGTGTGGCATAATATTTTACTACCAGCTGCAAATATCTGGTATTTAATGCATTTTGCAGGCAGAGAAATTCTATGTTCTAAAGAGCTCAATTACTCTGTTGTCTAAATGATATTGCAGGAGGGGTTACAAGGCCAGCTGTAGCAATAGCACAAAGCCGCTTACTGGGGCCTATTACTGAAAAACTGCCAACTATGCACGGGCTGACTGGAAACCCTACACTGCATCTTTAATATCTATATTATACACACACACACACACACACACACAATAGGTATTATCTGTGTAATATTCTTTACCCTTACATATATATATATATATATATATACACACACACACACAGTATACATATTATATGGTTGTATGCAAAAGTTTGAACATCCCTGGTTAATACGTTAAAACACTCCTCTGCTGAAAAAACACTTAATTATGGACTTTTTTTTTTAACTTGCTAAGTTTAACATTAAAATATCAAATTATCAAAATAAATCAGTAAATATAAACGTGTCACAGGCCACATTTTTTATTTTATCTGTTTAAATTCAGCAAAAACATAGTAATAGCACATTTTGCAGAATTGTGTTCTCAGCAGAAGATAACTGCACCTTTTTTCACTTAGAAAATATACTGTATATACAGTATATCTATAAATGATAGATATAAAATACAGTATGTTATGTAATATAAAGTATATATCATACACATTTACAACGCAGTGCATTATTTGTGTCATAGAACAGCACAGTGTAATTGCTGTACTCGTTTTTCTCCCTTTCTTTTTTAACCTTTCATCACAACAAACAGGCTAATCCCAGGTTTGGTGATTTTCAAAACTTTGGGAATACAGGTAGCCCGTTTCATTTGTAGTGTGCCCCTCTCCACATCACATTGCTTCAAAAAAGAAAGCCACAGCTACTTCAAAAAGAAAGCCACAGTGGCGCAGGTGTGAGCACGAGGAAACTACAAGCAGAAGGCAGTAGAAAGCTGCTTAAAGAGAGAGAGAAAGGCAGACTGCGGTGCACTTACACAGAACTTAGCCTTTACCTAGTCACACACCAATTAGGCGTGGCGTCATGCCGTCTGTCTTAACGAGTTTCACCTTTCCGCCGCTGCCTGAGCCCTGCATGGCTGCATGAATTATTGAGGATGGGGAATAGAGAGGAACAAAGGCAGGCCCACAGAGCTGTCGATATGTGTCAGGTCATTAGCCGACTGATTCCAGCGCATTCTCACACCCTCTCTCTCTCTCTCTTTCCCCATCCTTCTGCTCCTGCCTCTTTATCCCCTTGCTCCCTTCTTCTATCCTTTTGCTACTGCTTCCCCCTCACACATTCTTTCTGTACCACTTTCTCCCTCCTCTCCTTTTCTTTTCTCTTTCTCTCTCTGCTTTTCCCATTCCTTCCACTCCTGCTTCTCTCAGTCTTGCTCTACTTCCTTCTCTCCTCCTTCCTTTCCCCTTTCTCTCTCTCTCCCATCCGCCCACTACTGCTTCTCTCTCTATATTGCTCTCTTCTCTCCTTGTCTGTCTCTCTCTTTTCCTCATCATTCTGCTCCTGATTCTCTCTCTGACCCCTCTTTCCTCCCTTTCTTCTCCTCTCTCTACATTCCCTTTCCTCTCTTTCTCTCTGTACCTCTTACCCCTGCTGTTTTCCTCTTTCTCTCTCTCTCTCTCTCTCTCTGTGTTAACTTCTTTCTCACATCTCAATTTTCTCTTTGTCTCTCTCTTTCTCTCTCCACTTAGCATTAAAGTGATGATGAAAAAAATTCAAGCTTCAAGTTGGCTGTTCATATTGTTTTTAGCTATGCAATGTACTTTAGTCCATGTTTACAGATAACAGTGTGTTACAGTATTAGAAACCAGATAAGCAAGTTTATTTGAGATTTCTTAGCAACTCAGCATAGTTTGAGCCACATATATGTTGTTTGGTCATACAGTTTGTATAGTGCTACTTTGCCTGTTAGCTACATTAGCCTGTTAGCTTCAATGTAAAACTACAGAAGCAAACTCCAGACATCAAACGTGTCTTAGCTGATAAACCCTATCTGGGGTAAAAGGCACAACTGTGCACATTTGATTTTTGGCCAAACTATCGCTTTAACAGATCTTCTATCCTGCGATCGCTCGCTGGATCCGAATCTCCTCTTCGACTCCTTTCTGCACCCCAACTCATCCATCACGTGATCGAGCTGGAAAGAAGCGCTGAATTAGCCGGGCAGACAGGAGCCGACGCAGAGGCCCAGTGAGATGGGGGAAGAATTGATCTGTTTTAATGACACTGAGTGGCTGTGACTGTAATTACCAGGATACCTGACAGTGTTCTGGCAAATATTTACATGCTGAGAATAGTGGCAAGAAAACATCTTTAACCCTTGGAAGTCACAGTTATTACTGGTGAAAAAAACATGGTATAAATGTATATGAAATACCAGAATCTCACTGAAACAAGCACAGAAATTCATAGAAGAAAGAAATTCATTCTTTATATTTTTTCGCCACACTTTTATACACAGCCCCGCTGGTGACTCTGTATGTGTGTGGCTAAGACTTAGTATGGCATGGGAACAAGATAATTAAGTTGTGGGCACGACTTGGTAAGGCATGGGAATGAGGTCCTAATGCATGGCCACAACTTACTAAGGCGTGGGAATGAGATCCTAATGCGTGGCCACAACTTGGTGATCTCGTTCCCATGGCCACGACTTAATTATCTCATTCCCATGCCTTACTAAGTCGTTTAGGATAGCATTAGGATCTTGTTTCCACGTGTCAATAAGATGTGGCCACACATTACCTTAATTTATATGGGATGTCACCAGCAGGGCTTCTTACTTTTTCCATTTTTGGATTTTAAAACAAAAGAAAACAGGATTCAGAGACTTAAAGTTGTTGATACAGAATGTAAATCAAATGTAAATGTAATTCATTACGTAATTTGCTATGGAATTAAATAAGTACATAATAATATTTGAATAGTACAGCAAATTGAAAGTAATGGCTCAACATTTGAGGGTTATAATAAAATAATATCATTATCCTTAATAATATCATTATCCTTATTAAAGGACAGACATGTTTTGGTTTTATTTTGACTCCACTTTGACTCCACTTTCCTTCACCCACTGTTTCCCCTCCTCTGTCCTCTCTTTCTCTCTCCGGTCTGTTTTGTGTGTTGGTTAGTAGGCTGCAGATAGTGGAAGATTAGGAGGAAAAGTGCTTGTATCAGCGTGGCTCCCTAATCATAATAAGTACTTAATGTACGATGAGACTCTCCCAGTCGACCTTTATGTTTTGTGAATTAGCATTAGAGTAAAAAATGGCTTGGCGGCCAGGCCTATTATAGGATTGATTAAGTGAGATGTATGGTGCCTGCGCTCGAGCAAACCAAACATTCAGCAGTTCTGCCCGCTCACAGCCACCCATCCATTTTCTGCCACATTTATTAGCGAATACACAATAAAATAAAAAGCATGATCATAAATTCTGACCTGCCATATTGTGGCAACTAAATCCTGAAAGGCAAGCATGTTTTCATCCGCGCCGACCGGAGTAGCTGACTTCATGATGTGTCTGCAGTGAATAGAAATGCACCAACTTTGGCTAACGGAGGAAAAACGACTCACTGTGACTCGCTGCTCTCCCGTCAGGTCAGGTGAATCACAGAGCAGCTGCGACTCTGAGACGGTTAATAGACACGGCGTTTCTCCAATCGTCACTGTGTAATTCAGGCGGGCGTTTCCGGGAGCAGGAGGAATCAGGTTTTTTCCCTGATGTCAACAAAAAGCAGAAGCAAACTCAATAAAGTGCAATTGTTAAAGGCATTACAGTGCACTTAGACTGACGAATGGTCAGGTGGACAGAGATTGATCGTGTGATGGTCAAACCGACAGACAGCTAGATAGATATCTAGATGGGTAAATAAATGGCTACCTTCAGGATGATGGGAGACCCAGGTTTGACCTCCAGTATCCCCGCATTCCCCAGTGGGTCAAAGGTAGGATTGGGGTAATAGGTGAAGGGAGTGCCATTGAGGACGAGGAGAGAGGACACGTGGTCCAGGATGAACCCGAACTCGTCCGGATGAAGGCCGGACTCAGGAGCCTGGCGCTTTGTGTAGACAATTGGAGGAGCCAGACAGGTCATTGTAGAGTCGTTTACTACTGTACAAATCTAAAAAACAGAAAGAAAATTTATTATAATGCTTCTCAGATCGTCACAGTCCACACTACCACTGTCCTGCATAGTTTAGTGATGTCTCAACACTTAACACATCAATTTTTCTTAGCTAAGATTGTTACTGAGCTCTCATGTCTGTTAGTTGAGTTAAAAAGGAAAACACAACAAATTGTGCAGAGCAGTGATACTCCAGCATCAGAATTGAGAAACACTGATCTCACACTCCCAGAGAGGTGAGAAATCGTCTCTATTTTCTTCCATACAATAAAAAGACAATTTTATGTCCCTCTAAAATTAAGTGAACTTTAAACCCAGAAGGTCACCTGCTTTGGACATTTTGGAGAGTTTCACATGGCAGAAATAGTTACATAATGTATGCTTACATTGGTGGTCTCCACTCCGCCATATTTGGCCCTGACTTTGGGCTCCTGGATGGTGAGCAGGTGGGTTCCGGTGACTGTCAGAGAGGTGCTGCCACTGCAAAGATAAAACGATACAAACTGCTAGTAGGGACAGGCATTTTAACTGTTTTTGTTATTTTAAGCAAAATGTATGAAACTAACCCAACTACAAAATACTTTATATTGTTAGGAATAAAAACTAAAGCATAGAAGATTTAACATTTGTGTATTCTGTGCACGTGATACATCCACATTGGTTTATTTAGTGATTTATCTTTGTGTTCAAGGTGTTCGTTGCCGTCAGTTGGCCTACAGAGTGATAATTCAGAGTGGCACAAAACTTGTACTGTACAAATTTGTCAGCTTTTAGTTGAAGATTTTATGAGCTGATGTTATACAATACAATAGCAGCAGCATGTATCCTGAATTTCTCTGAAGCTCCATGATCAGTCATAGGAAAATGACAGCATAATGCATTTTTTCCTACACGTCTTATTTGAGCATCTGATTAAGTAAACAAATTCTAAGATGAGTTTGGATATCTGTATATTTGAATAACTTCACCCATGACTACTTTTGCTCTTTTATATTTCACAGTCTGTGTGAGCTTAGTGTAGTCCTCACTTAATGATGCTCCAGTTGGGTTCAATGCCGGTGATGGTGGGGTCCTCAGTGTAGACGTAGCGCAGGTCACTGTTGATCTCAGCTTTGTCTATGAATAGCTTGATGGACGAGGCTCCGGAGCCAGACATGGAGGCTGGGGTCACACAGACAATCTCTCGCATTGCTCTCCTGTATGAGTGAATGGTAAAAAAATCAGGGATGCTGATTTATCATCAGAATTAGCCTTCCATCTCTAATGAATACAATTATATTAACAGAGTAAAGCTGATCCTGGATCAATAGATAACTGATATATCTACACTAACAAAGAAAAACAAAGTAATACACTGAATTTACTTGATTTGATGTGTATATCATTTCCACATGAAGTACATCACCACAGTTATTGCTAAAAGCAAGTAAACTGAAAGGCAAAACTGTGCAGATGTAATATTTTCTTCATGTGGAAAATATGTACACATTTAAATCAAAGTAAATTCAACTCATTACTTTTTTCAGCGTAGGCTGTAAATTACTTATTATCTACATCGCCCAGATGAATTAGCATCTAATTGTGCATTATAGTGCTGCGTGAGCTTTCACAAATGATCCCTATTATATATTCAACATTACATTCGTCCTGGATTTAGTTTTTCTGCCCTGTTATTTCAGCCCTCCTGCTGATCAAACTCATTTTCCTTGGCTGAAGTCCTGAACCGCAGCAGGATAAGTCCACTCACGCAGGCAAGCAAGTGATTACATCCAGCCATGCAGGAGCGCCTTGCATGCAGGCCAGGTATGGCATCTGATATTTGCTTTGACTGGCGAACGAGAGTGTCAGACTTCTTGCTCCTGTTTTGTCTCATGTGGTATATTTGTTTCATAACACAGAGTTGCTAGGACAAACAGTGCGAAGCTCTGGCCGTAAACAGAGCAGTGAGGCCTTTCACTGTAGCTACAGACCATACAGACCAGTGCATGGTACACTGGCACATAGCCCTCAGCCTTAGGTGTAAAGCAAAATGCTTTTATCATTAATTAATATTGTCTTAAATAGCCTAAGCTATAATCTAACAGTTTTATCTAACGTTGCATTACAAGAAGACGTGACGTAAACATGACGTAAAACTTCATGCCGCAGTTTTTTTTTTTAAAACATCGCATCGCTTTACCTGAAAATATGAACATAGATCATCTAGAAGATGAAGAAAATTTAAATCCTTCATTTTGTCAAGTATGTATTTGGTTTCAGTGTCTCTTCAAAAGTGTTTGGCTGCATCTCGCGGCAACACTGCTTTCTTATTTCCCGTACCGCAGACTGTTTTCGCACATGTGCAGACTGAGAAATTCGTAAGAAATCAGAGTAAGAGTTCACCTGCACCAAGAAATGTGATTACTGAGCTAAAATCCAGCTCTCTTTATTGGATTTCTTAATCGGATCTCTAGACCTTACACCGATCTAAGAAATCAGAGTTTGCTGTTTACATCACCATTTGAATAATCAGATAACTGCAGAAATCCGATTCTTAAGTGCATGCAAACACACTTACTGTAACTTATTTCAAGTAACTGAATCTTTGTTAATTTTACAAAAAAATTTAATTAAATAAATTTTTACCAATATTCTGTAGGCATGACAAGTATATGACACAGGTGCCAAAATGCCTGCATGCACATACTTGTGGAACATTGCTATAGACAAAGTAGTGAACCAAACATCTCCACTCTAGCTGTAGACAGAGCAGTCGACTGATTCATTGTGCATGAACACAACCAGATAGAAGTGAACAGATCTGCTGTAGCTACTGACAGATCAGCAAACCCAGTCACTTTGGATAAACACATCCACTCTATCTACAGACAGAGCAAACACATCCACATTAGATTTGTGCACTGACTGTGAATGACTTACCGAACAAACAGGCACTTCTCCTGGGCCAGGAACACAGTGACTGCGCTGCCGGCGTCCAGATTTTGGCCGGAGATGGTTAGCCTGGTCCCCCCTGACACTGGCCCTTTTTCCGGCTGCACCCGATTAAATTTGGGAGTCTGGAGAGAACATAGACGCACAAGGCTCTGTTTACTGACCAGCTGCATCACCGCTTACATGCATACACTCACCTTCAAAAGTTTGGGAACACCTTGTTCTTCTAAGACATTTTCCGAATCTATGCTATTCCCTCTTACTTTTCAATTAACCATAGAAACCAGACGAGCCCGGTACTGGGAAGCCATTTGTTTTGTTTTCTATCACTGTATAAAAGATGCACATGTCTGATGTAAACATTAGATTTCTATTAATGTGTTGTCTTGTTTACAAAGGTAGTTTGTAACACAAACTGAATAAAAATCTCTGAATTGTTGAGGCTTGTTAGATCATGTTCTTACATTTGAAAAGAATCGCATAAACAGCATTCAGAAATTATGTTATTAATGGAACAGACTAGATAATTTGGCAGAAATAACCACTCTTTTTGCATTAACCTGAGCATCTGCAGCATAAAACAACTATGTGCTAATCCTTTGAATATATCTAGAAAATCGACAGTTTTCTGTTCCAAACCACTCTTAAAAGCACGTACAGAAACTCTTTTGGCCCAAAAGTGGCTTATGTTGATGCAAAAATTGGCTATTTCTGATTAAACTGCTCTTCTTTGTTGATAATAATGTCAGTGATGTTGCATTTATTTATTTTGTAAACAACGTGATATAACAAAGCTAAAACGTATTAAACTACTTTTTTTGAACAATAAAAACGCGTAAATAGGAATATAAGCCTCACATCAGTCACGATTTGTCATTACTTTGATTAAACACATCAATAATAAGCACTGATCTGAATTGTCCTCTGAGTGGACTTGTGCGTTTGCATGGACCAAACCACAATGCATCCAACAATAAAGTGAGCCCCCTGCATGTTTTATACAGTGATACAGAAAGAAAACTCTGATTCTACACACTGATATGTTTGACTGTGTCCAATATAGACATGCATGCGCAGAATCTCCTCTCGCAGCAGATTTAAACGGGTTAAAGGGGCCATCGCCGTTTTCTCTAAATGGATTGCCAGCAAACTTATTACAAAAAAAAGAGAAAAATGCTCATTTGTGTTGAAAAGCTAGATGGTCTCAAAGTTTTGATGTGTACATATCACACAAAATTTATACACATGGATGAACATGCATGCACAGACAGACAGATGCTCAAAGGGCACCTCATATGGTGCAAATGAACACAGTATCCACTCTACTCTTGTACAATAACAGTAATTCAGCTTTCTGGTTGCTTGTGTGGTGGATTTAGTTCATTCAGTTGTGACTGCGGGCTCTGTCTGGCTACAGGCCTGTTCACTTTTCCCTGATTAACTACAACCTACAGCTCTGGCTGATCTTCCCCTTCTTCGTCCTTCCGTTTCTGCTACTCATTAAAGCCCCTCGAGGGCCAGCCAAGATCCTCTGTGTGCTTGTATCATGTGCGTGTATGTGCATTAGTACATGTGTGTGTATGAGTTCTGTGAGTATGTGTGTTTGAGTGAGTGTGAGGGTGTGTCTCTATACTGTGCACATGTGTGAGTGTACAAATGACTGCATATTTGTGCTTTGGTGAAGGTCAGAATCCATAACCTTCCTCAGCGGTGCAATATGTGTTTGTGGGTGCTTGTGTGTTCGAGCATCTGCATGTACATGTGAACGACTGCATAAAATATAATATGGGATATGTAGGTACTTAAATATGCTAAAGTTTGGAATTACCATTAATAACTTATAAGAATAACATATACAGTGCAGATTGAAATGGTTTAAATTAGACAACAAAAATAAAAGTGTATTCATAATTTAAACTATTTTGGGAACAACATGAAATTATGACATGGTAAAAAAGTTGGCAACTGTTATTAAATAATAAACTGTACTTACTCATCAGTTTGAAACCTTTAGAATATTAGCTTCATAACAACCATTTTATATACGTGTCTGCAACAAAATTGCTTTTATGATAACAAAAACAGCGATTCCAAACTTCTGAACAGTAGTGTATGAGACATATTATTATTATTATTATTATATATAGATTAGATACTTGCGTATATATAATTGGGATGGCATTTTTATTACATGGCATATAATGTCATTACAATGAACTGTATTATTATTATTTTATTATTATTATTATTATTATTATTATTATTATTACATATAGATACTTAAAATATATATGTGACACGTATGGGCCGTTCTGCTATAGTATAAAAACGTGTGTGTGTGAGATCTGATAGAGACTTGGTCTGATAAACTGCTGGCTGTTCTGCTATAGTATAAAAACGTGTGTGTGTGAGATCTGATAGAGACTTGGTCTGATAAACTGCTGGCTCTCTCATGCAGGGCAGCACTTCTACCTCAGCAGTAGGAGAATGGGGGGGTTAATCAAGTCACAATATACATTACTTCCTCTCTCAGTTGCACAATCGCATGAGCTCTACGGGGGACTCGATTGGCTAACAGATTAAAGATGCAGGAATCCTATTGATTTTGTGGCTCTGAATGTACAATTTGATTGGCTCATAGCCCCAGGGAGTGAATTCCTATTGGCTGACTGTGGCACAATACCACAATACCATTGAAAGATGAGGGACACACCAGTTTTAGAATCACAGTCCACAAATCTGACCAATTTTGCTTCAGATACATGTATAAAATGCATCTTCACAAGCTTCAAATAATTTGCTGTTTTTCCATAAACGTTGAGAAAGTGGTGTAACACAGAATAAAGCTATAATAAAATAAACATCCAGAATGCCTCAAATCTGGCAGATAACTTGTCAAAAATTGTAGTGTAAATAGATCAGTACTGCATATTATTCCTGATTTCATAACTTTCCCCAGGGTTTCAGAAAGTTAAAATATTGAATCAAACATGAAAAAACAACTTCTTCAATTTAGTAAACATTATAATTGAATACAATTCAATAATTAATATACTGAGCAACTCCAGATAACTGGACTTTACTCCCTGAAGGATTAAATAAGCTTAAATGGCATGAGACCTTCCTCTGTGGCCAAGGGAGGAGTACGTACCACAAAAGAGTAAGTCTGGGAGGACTGAGTACGATATTCTGCACTGCAGTCGCTGATACACAGCTCCACAGGACCACCTGGAGGACTGGCCATCAGAGACTCCTCCATGTCACACACGATCCTGAGAGACATCAGCACACAACACGCTTTATTCACAGAACATATAATTATACATTTTTTAAATAAATCCTACAGATATTTTGGGGTGGATTCAGACTTCAGTACAGAAGTTGAGTTCATTTGAAAGCACTACATACTTATGAATGCTGTCTAAGGGGATAATAATTACTTTGTGTTCTATGGTGCCATGTATTTCTTGTTTTAATGTATTTTATATATTGAGCGATTTTTCATGTTGATTTATCTGCACTGGAACATATTCATCTTAGTATTAAAGATGTGGAACTGACGTATCTTGATTTAAAATGCAACGTAACTGGAACAAAATGTATATTCTTGCATCTCACCTCTCAGCGCTGATGTATTCCTGAGCGACTGGATTACAGCGCACTCCGGCCACTCGCACGTGAGTGATCTCTTTCACCTGCAGCCCCAAATTCTCCCCCTCAATCGTCACCCGTGTACCCCCCTCTTTAGGACCCGTCAGGGGGTGGATCTACAGAGACACACTCACATCGTTAGGTTCATAAACAGCCATAACAACTCATTTATGAGTTATGGAACACAGATTACATTCTATATTCAGGACAGGAATACTGTATGTGTAAGAAAAACATCTGTAAACGTTTTTACCCATCAATTAGACCAGTGCTGCCCAAAATGTAGCCCATCAGAAAGTTACCCTAACACCCCCCCACCAATGAGAGCAAACATATTTTTATACAATATATAACTTCTTACATACTTATTGTCTGTTTTTTGTCCAAAATGTAGTGAAATGTAAGAAAATACATTTTCAAACATACCTACTTTCTGTACATTTGTACTTTGCTTTGTCTTTTTGGCCCACTGCCCACCACAAACACTGAACTTGTGCCCCCCAAGACAAAGGCTACGTTCACTTTCCAGGTTGAAGTGGCACAAATCAGATTTTTTGCCCTAATGTGACTCAGATCTGATTTTTTCAGGGCTGTGTAGACACACAAATCTGATCTTTTCAAATCTGACCCAGATCGGATATGTGTCCGATTCATGGCTATGCAACCTTAATGTTTACGCTCAGATCGGAATTCATGTGCTTTTTTCCCCACCGCACGTACGCCGTCATTCAGCATTACCATGGCAGCAGCGGCGAACAGACGTTAAAGCCTGTAAACGGTGGAAAAGCAACACATCTCACCTTTTCCTCCTTTGTCTCGCTCTAATAATGAAGCTGAGAGCTGATCAGAGTTAATGATCTTCACAGTGAAGCTCGTTCTGCTCGTTAGTCTGTGATGCACGCGATTCATTCACGTGACATTACTGAGTAGGATGTGCACATGCGGGTCATTTCAGCACACCGGTTCATTCACATTGACAAGACTTTTATCACTTACCTAAATGAGTGTAAACCATTGTGTCAGAGAGATCGGATTTGAGCAAAAAAACAGATTTGAGCAACGAGCCACACCACTACCATGTGAGTGAAACTGCAGTGCAGAAAAAAAATCCACTGCTCAAATGATATCTGGCCTGCAGTGGTCCTATTGTGGTCCCTTTTCACTGAGCAACAAATTATACAACAACAGAAAATAGTAAACCTACAAAGTGGTACGCGTTTCCAATAAAATGGCCAATGAATGCAGGTACAACATAGGTGGACCTAAGAAACTGGCAATGCTTATAAAAAAGTGTGTTTATGTGTGTGTTTGTGGGTGTGTGTTACCTTGGCAATGCGGGGATGGCTGCAGCGTACGCTGCGGCGGCCCTGGTGCATCCAGTTGTGTTCGGGCGAAGGACAGTGCTGCTTCAGGAGACACTTCTTATCAGCCAGACACCAGCCACACTCAAACATGCTGTCAGCCTTCAGACACAGGCCACAACTGTCCCTCTGAGCTTCACACTTATACAGGAGAGCTGTGGAGGAGCACAGAAAGGGAGAGAGAGAGAGAAAGAGAGAGGAATAAAGTGTTATAGTCAGCTGGCAGGTTGGAGGGCAGCAGTAGGAGTGAAGCCAGAAGCGTGTAGCAGCAGGTCGATAATTGAACTGTAAGGGTGAAAGCAGTGAAGGCAAAGCCCACGCCTGCATTTACTCTGCTCAGAGCTCACATCTCTGCTTCTCCCACACACACATGCACACACACACAGACACACACACTTGTTTTCATACCTTGTCAGGACATTGGGTCATGCATATGTCCCAATATATCATATATACTGAAGTACTTAGTAAGTATAACATACCATATGTAAGACAAGTATTGATTCTATGTGTTTATTTAACCTCTCCTTGAGGCAGCCCAGTATAAAATGCTATTTATCATCCAATACCTAGTTTGGCTAATCAGTGCTTCAATATATTAAATCAGTATTTCAAATATAAATGGTATTCTTAGGTGCCTAATACTTTTACATGGTACTATAAGTACATATAAGCAACAACATGTCCCATTACAAAATGAAGCATGTATTATTAACAGAGGTTATCCTGCAAAGTTAGAACACTGTTGTCCTGAAAATGTATGAAAACACACACACGTGTATGCGTCCTCAGGGTACTCCCACTAAAGCGGTTGTGGTAAGAGAGCAAAAGGAGGTTGAGTTGGTCAGTATTGATCATCTGCTGGACACACGACTCCCCGCTCAACTACACAGACAAGGGTCAATCATTTCCATCAGCACTCACATCAGCAGGCCAGCGTGGGCACAATTCAACTCGACACTTTATTCTCTCTCCACTATTTACCACACTGTGTTTTTTCCTCACACCTACATTTTTGGCATTTAGTAAACACTCACATCCAGAGACACGTATGAGAGTGTTTTGATGTCTATTTGCTCAGTGTAAGATCTAAAGCTTAGCATAAGCTAAGGTCAAGTCACTGCCAGAAACAGGAGTAATACTGAAATATCAGTACAGAAACCTTTATTTCAATACCAATTACTGAATGATACTTTTTTGATACCCTCTTGTTAATTACAAACCAAAAAGTGGGTGTGGCATAAACTAGAGGTGCTGGAAGTGGGTATGGTTACTGACCGCAGTGGACTGCAGATTAGTAAGGAAGCACTGATGTTAAAACATACATAAAGAATGCAATTCAGACAGCCAGTCAGCAGTCTAGATTTTGTACAAGCGTGCTTATTGGCTCACAGATGCCAAAATCTACACAAACAAACTAGTTAGGTATTGAAATTTGGTATTAAATGATACAGAATTTTTCAATATAATAATAGTATTAATATGAATGTGGTCAATATCATAAAGGTACTCGTCTTTATTAACCAACCCTTATTCCAATGTTACACACTGGTATTGCAATATATCACTGCTGTCAGAACCAAACCTTGTATCTCCATTTTTGTCATTTTTCAGTTTTTTTACATAATTTGAAAATGGCTGTAGGCTTTTTCATTGTGTGTAAATTTTATTATAAATGGACCGAAAGAAGTGACCCACAATGACTTTAAAAAACTCTGGTTTCATTGACTTACATTAAAAGTAAAGTATGTTTTTTTCTTCTCCTGTAAAGTTACCATTTTTGAGATACGAGGTTTTGTTCCAACAGCAGCGATATTAAAATGCATTGGTGAATTGATGATTTAACATAGTTAAAGATTTGCCTGCATTACCAAAATAATTGCCCTGGATTGTTGGATAACATGAGTAACTTAATTTATTAAAGCACCTACAGAAACCCATGTGGAACTGTGATTGGTTTGGGGGCTCATTTGGCTGTCGCAGTATCAGTACCGCAAAGGCCAACATCATACACTGCGCAGCCCTAATATGTATAAATATATACATATATATTTTTTTAAGAGCGTTCTTCGTTCTCACTTTCCTCTGCACTCTGCCACCCCAGTCACTCACCCACTATTTCTATCCTCTTCTATCTTTCTCACTTTCCCTGTAGTTCCAGATGATGAAAAAATGCATCAGCACGTCCGCCATGTCTCTCTCTCTTACTCTCTTTCGCCTTCTTTCTCTCTCTCCTCTAAACCCACAAAAGATCAAAAGCAACTGAAAAGCTGTCTGTCCTAATTTTCCACCATACTATGAAATATAATTAGACAACAGTACAGCTTGGATAAAGGAGGGCACATACTGTCCCATCCTCAGAGATAAAATAAAGCTTTAAAACACAAAAATAGACACCAAGCACCAAGCTATCAATAAAATATGCCATGCTGGACAAGAGGATGCCTAAGTCACTATATATGACTGAAAAGATGGAGAAATCCTATATGCATTAAAGATGTATTGAGATCCACTCAAACACAGCAAGTCTCTCCACTGAAGCAGACTGGGCCGCTGAATAAACTATGACTATGGATGGAGAACAGTGGACCTCTTTCTGAGGTGTCTGCCCTGTTAGCTATACAATCAGTAGCTTCATCCTACTGTCTGACCACTAGGGGGCTTAACACTGTCACACTACAGCTTGTGGTTGTACCATATAGTTCAGTTAGGAACTGTCTAAACACAACAGCACATTTTCTCTGAGTTTATTAACAGAAAACACTGTACATGTTTTGCTACTCTAACACTCTTAATTGAACACATCTAGGCCTTAATAACACAAACCTTAACCTACTTCAATCCCAGGCTTACTTATGAAAGTTATAAAAGTGTCTAATAAAAGTTTGGACCTGTAGACAAGTCCTGGGCATGTAAATGTTAAAAGCGTACATAGTGGCAATAGTATCTAGAGCATTTCTTCAAAAAAGAGACAAAAAATTTCAAAATAAATGTGATTATGTAAATAAAATGTTTTTGATGGTTCTACCCTATCATAGTCATGTGTAGAGTAATTGTACTTGCACCAGGTCACAACCCCAAAGGCTGGTGAAGCAGCCAAAGCATTACAGGGATAAACAAGCTTAGTTGAGACTTATTAAAAAGAGCTCTATGCTGTGTTGTGAGATTCCAGCAGTGGAACCAGGACTGCAAGATATGCATAAAATAGTAGTATTGCTAGTATCATATTGTTACATACTGTCTTTGCAATGTGTCTTTTAATATACTGAAAATGCACAGGTGAATCAATTATGTGACACGGTTAAAGTCTGGCCTGCATCATTTTAATCACAATCTTTGTTGAATTACACAAATACATTCACAGCAAACAGCAAAAACAGTGCCTTGAAAAGTGGTTACAGAACTCATTTTAATACTGCAACCATCTGCGATATCAATATTGCAAAGGCCAGGGTGTCTTACTAAATGGGCCCAGGGGCCTCTGATGGATTACTAGCCAGGCCTAGGGGCCTCTGATGGTCAGGCACCTTTATAGGTAACAAATGACAAAATAAATTAAATAAATTAAGAAATGCCTGTTTTAAGTCTCGCTTACTGTTTTCAATTATTATTAGCTCATGTGACTTTGTTGCTGTCATTCAAATTCAAATGGGACGTTAGTGTTTACCATTCCATAATGCTTCTGTATTTGCATTACAGCTCAGAAAAAAATATTCAAATGTGATTAAAAAATCTTTAAATTCTACAAAAAAATGTTATAATGTGGATATAGGATTATAGGCACATTAAATTCTTCATGAATCACTGTTGTTTAAAAGTGTATGTAAACATGAGGGTGAAATATTGTTTAATCTCACATTTCAGATGTTTATTTTTATTTATTTATGATGGAAGCAGTGGGCCACTAAGGATTCTTGTGCACAAAAGGTGTTGCAGGACCATGATCCATCCCTGACAAAGGTCAATATCATGCTAACAATTAACAAATGTTATATTGCTACATCATGCTGTCTCAAGGCCTGTGTTAGTCCCCTGGCCTGCTAGTCGTTCCTGCTCGGTCCTGTGAAACATTGCTGTTAGTTTAAGAAAACAGTGGAACTTACCTCTCATAGTAGGAGGTTTATCGATGGGAAAATCTCCGTCCCAGACAATAGAGAAATCCACAGGCAGATCCCCCATCTCATTCCCCTCGTACCAGTACTGCAAAGAAAGAACAGAAAAAATAATTCGCAGTCTTCTGACATAAATGCACCCTGTTCTCACTTGTGAACCGTGACCATTAGTGCTAGGCTTTCAGTTTGAGCCATAAATGTCAAAACTCAGTCAAAAACTTGTACAATACATTTCACGTTTTCATATGTTTGTAACAGACATTAACATATATGACCATTCTACCGAATTAGTTCAAACTGTGGTCAGTAACAAAAACAGGCTCTATCCACCCGTTTCCTAATGAGAACAACTATTAGAACAAAGTCAAATTGACCAAAGGGAGGCGCTCATGGGAATAATTTGTATACTTCCCACATGACCTGCTTGAGGGTTTTGGCTTTGTATGTCAAGGTCCACTTCTATCCAATCTCTCAGAGCATAAGTCCAGATCTAGGTTACCTTTTATTGATTTATTGGTTTTCATTAGGATAAACAAAAACTGACACAAGTTCAAGCAAAAATTTGCTTAAAGCAAAAAACTGACTCTAGTTCAGCACTTCTCATCGTGTACAGTGTGTAATGGAGGAGTATGTTGGTGTTTTAGGAGAGTGAACAGGCCTTTTTCTCAGCACAACACTGGAATTGATCTAAGAACAGAGCAGGACTTTTTACTGTCTACATTTTAATAAGCAACAACTGTGACAGCACTTAGCTGACCAAACCTGGCGAGAATGTCGCTGAACATCACCATCAATCGCAGCCTTTGCAAAAACCGTGGAGGGCGTAGAAAACAAGTGTGAGTGAACCAGAAGGAGGTCCTGGAATGAGCATTAAAAAAAAAAAACCTGTGCTAGAAGCTTCATGGTCTATGGATAAATGCTGGTATCATAGCGTCTGACCGGTGGGCTAAGAGCCCCAATAGTGAAGCCACACTACTTTAATTTCTATTTATGGCAAAACCAAAAAGTCCCAAAGCGCTGACAAGAAACCTCCATTCCTTCAGCTGGTCATTAGGGCTGAGTGAAACATCAGCTGCTACAACGCTGTTCATTCAGCCATGCAGCGCAAATCAATCACTACAAGGCAAACACACCGCACCAGGAGCATTTGCTAGCAGCCTGAAAGGCCACGGAGAGCGGGAAACTGTTCTTAGTGTAGGGGTGTGAACTTAAATTTATATCACAATATTTACATCATGATATCTTTCAACCAGGCAATAATGATATATCATGATGAATTTATTAATTAATTAAGAAGAAAATATGGCAAAAAGGTGTGTATACAATACAAATGTTTTAAGCATCTAAGAAAATGAAAACTGAAGCGTTCTTTATCTGCTCAGAAGAACACTAATATTAAAATAAATATAAACAACATTACAATAACTCCTCACGGCAGCCCAGTATTTGTATTATTATCCAACACTTGATTTGGCTAAAAAGGGTATCTGTGCACTACATGGACAAAAGGACTGGACACACCTCTTAATCACTGAATTCAGGTGTTTCTTTCAGTTCCATTGCCACAGGTATATAAAATCAAGCACCTAGCCATGCAGTCTGCCTTTACAAACATTTATAAAAGAATGAGTCGTTCTAAAGAGCTGTTAATTCCAGTGTGGTGCTGTAATAGCATGCCATCATTGCAAGTCAGTTTGCGATATTTTGTCCCTCCTAGATTTTCCACGATCAACTATGAGTGCCATTACTGAAATGTTGAAGTGTTTAGGAACTGCAGCAACTCAGCCACGAAGTGTCAGACCACGTAAAGTTACAGAGCGGGTCATCGTGTGCTGAGACGCATAGTGTATAAAAGCCACCAACGCTCTGCTGACTCAATAACTGCAAAGTTCCAAACCTCATCTTGCATCAACATCAGCACAAAAACTGTGCGCCGCGAGCTTCATGGCAGGGTTTTCATGGCTGAGCAGCTGCATGCAAGCCTTACATTGTCAAGCACAATGCCAAGCGTCAGATGGAGTGGTGTAAATCACGCTATGGGGATGCTTTTCAGGGGTTGGTCTAGACACCTTAGTTCCAGTGAAGGGAAATATTTATGCTTTAGCAGACCAAGACATTTTGGACAATCCTATGCTTCCAACTTTGTGGGAACAGTTTGGGGAAGAACCTTTTCTGTTCCAGCATGACTGAGCCCCAGTGCACAAAGCCAGGTCCATAAAGTCATGGCTGGGTGAGTTTGGTGTGGAAGAACTTGACTGGCCCACACAGAGCCCTGACCTCAACCCCATCACACACCTCTGAACGGAGAACGGAGATTATGAGCCAAGCCCTCTCGTCCAACATCAGTGTCTGACCTCACAAATGCTCTTCTGGATGAATGGGCAAAAATTCCCACAGATACCCTCCAAAATCTTGTAGAAAGCTTCCCAGAAGAGTGGAAGCTGTTACAGCTGCAAAGGGGGGCCAACTCCATATTAATAATAAATGATCCTGTTGATGTAATGCATAGGTGTCCCGATACTTTTGTCCATATAGTGTATATCTACACACACACACATTGGCAATTTATTGTATTCCAGAAGAACAGAATGTTTAGGTGACACCTGGGTGCCATGCTAATCAGTTTAAACTGCATGTATATATAGAAATAAATGCTGTATTTCTCCACAGTGCTGATCCAGGCAGATCTAGTCTCAATTTATACATTTTAGAAATGTTTATGTATCAGCACCAGCAGATTCACACTGTAAAAACGGTCTGTCGGTTCAACCTACAAAAAATTACTTCATGTAGTAACAAATAAATTAACCAGTTTTATTCACCCTAGAGACTTTGAATGGACCATTGTTTCAGTCAAAGTATCTTTTTATCTGAACAAAACTAGATTTTTCTCTGTCCTGGCACCCTGTTGGTGGAACAAACTCTCACTGGCTGTCTGAACAGCAGACGCTCTCATGGTCTTCAAATGCAGACTGAAGACACATCTCTTTATACAGCAGTGAGCACTAATTTTGTGCACTAATTTAAGTACTTATTGAAATATATTGTACTGCACTTATTGATATGTATTGTATTGCTCTGTGTTTAATTCTGTTCCTTTTTCTCCAGGTATCAACTCTTTTTGTTTCTAGCAATATCTGAGCCCAGGAGTAACTTTAGTAGCAAAGATACTTTCTCCGACCAGACAACAAAGCACTTTTGTAAGTCGCTCTGGATAAGAGCGTCTGCTACATGGTGTAAATGTAATGTAGTTCAACTAAAACCATTTTTTACAGTGTGTGCATGAAAAATATTGAATATTGGCATCGCCGCTCCTCCCATCCGTAAACTTTTAGATACACTGTCACTGGGGTGGTCCCCTTAAGAGTCCGTCTTCAGTGCCTTAATATAGGGAACACTGTATTTGTGCAATATTAGCTGTGTTGACTCTAATAACCCTATCCAGATTCGAGGCTTTTAAGAAAAGGTACAAATATGCATCGTTTCCTTAGGAAACACCCCTGTTTTACCTTTAAGTGTACATTACATTGTTTGTAACCTTTTTCTGACAGTGTATCTCAGCAGTGCGTATGAGTCTTCCCTCAGCTGCTCTTAGGCATATCTGAGAGGAAGTGGAGCGCACTAGGCTGCGCTGAGGGTGACGAAAGGCCAAAGTAAAACTCACTCAACCTGTTGACACCAGGCTCCAAGCAGCCGCAGGCATCTATAGGACCCAGCTGCCCAGCGTCTTCCATCGTAATTGGGGTCAATTATGGATGCCCTGTGTAGTGCTGCAGGTTAGGGAGGTCGCCGCCTGAACATCATTAGCTTACTGCAGAATTTGTTGGGTGATTTTTTTTTGGACTCCAGCAGCGGTATGTGACAGTAAAGTGGAACATCACTAGGTGGGAGGAAATGAGCTTGTAGGCTTCAAAGAAGCATCAACAAATATACCTGAATTTACAAAAATGATGGTTTAAGAAATCCAGGGGGGAAAGAGCTGTCCATTGTGTTGACTGTATTTTGGGTTTAAATCCAGACAACACCACAGGGGAATGAATAGGGAGTGATAACACTGTAAAAAATCCCCAATAAATAAAAATATATATATAAAATAGGTTGTTGTCATACATAAGCTGTGGTGATGAAAGCTGGAGGAACGAGAGACAGTCATACACAATGTATTTTGGGCAGTAATATGATGTATTTTCTTGCCTATTGCCTCCTCTCCAGTGAAAGGCAGGGCAGCTTTGAGGAGATTAGCCGCTGAGTGTAAATGCGCGGAAGCCTTTGTGTTGGCCCATACAATACAGCTTATCTGTGCCAGTAGTGAATTGATTTTCCTCAGGCTTGTCTTCCCACAGTATCGCTGTGCGCTCTGTGAGGAGACAGCCTGGCCTGATTCTGTCAGGAGCCTCATTGGAAATGACTAGTAAACGACAGCAAGGTATTCTTACCTTTAAACCCCCCCTCCACCCCCCCATGAATCCATCAGCAGCCCAAACACACACACTCTCTCACACAGGACACAACACAACAAAACCTCAGACTGGAAACCATCAGCAGGAATGAAAAAGCACCATCTTCACCATTTTGATTTCATTTTCTACACCATGTTGGGTTTATTACAATCCTATTTGCCTGCTAGAAGCCAGCAAGCACGGCGTACGGAAAGAGCCGGCTGAGTTTTTTAAAAAGCCTACTCTTAATAAATGATGTGCTCAACAATCTACTTATTGCAGCAAAGTTAATACAGCAGCGCTGTTTACGGCATGGGGGGGAAATGATGAATAACTGTGCCGAGATATTGACTCGCTAGAAAAAAAAATTCTGCAACTTAAAAAAAAAACCCCCACCAATCTTCTTTTCTAAATTAAGTGATTGCAATTAATTCCAATAATGGAACTAGACTTTTTAGCATTAAGTAGGATTTTATTCTAGCAAAGATGTTTACTAAGGTTTCGATAGCGCCTGCCCACAGCGCTTTTTGGCTCTGATTTGACTTGTCAATGCTGACTCCCTTAAGTGACAGAATGAAAATCAATGTAACTTAATGATGGAGGTTTTCCTGTACATTTAATTAGGTTACCAAATTAGTCCAGACTCAGC